AGTATTTTGCTGTATACACTGCTATTGGGTGCTGAAAGATAGATTTTGGCAAACTTTGATAAATTTGGGTATTGTGTAGCTATACCTGACCACCAAATATAAGAGTCAGTTTTAACTAAAAACTGTGTATCTCAAACAAACTTGGTAAACAGCCATTGTTTAAATGTTATACCATTTACGACACCTGTTGAACCATCGCACGATCTTGTTCTTCGCGCGATGAAATTAGGACTACGCCTAGGTGTCGCTCGATTGGCAATAACATGAATTGAATCGCACACAGAGGAACACGCGTACACGTTGTTGTTGACCATAAATCATGTTCAATCTGGGATAATTTCAAATAAAAGTAGAAGTTGTATTTAGTCGTATTTTCAAAAACTGCAATAACGGTATATATTTATTTATATATTTTAACTTTAGTAAAAAAATTGGCTACGCTTTGAAAAATAACCCTGTATATTAGTGGTAAGTTAGAATATAATAATAATAATAATGTCCTCCAGACCGAATTTCGGCCACGGCGGTCTGCCTCAATGGAGGCTAGCCATCGGCGCAGGACAGGATTATAGTGCCCAAGTGTATGCACAAGCACAGGTGCACTCTGTATTGCCTCACTCTCATAGTCCGATGGGACGGTAAACCGACACGTCCGGAGAAAGATCAGGCGCAGGACCAACGGCTTTACGTGCTTTTCCAAGGCACGGGGTGAGACACCGCCAACTCCCTGACTCCGGGCAGCTACTGAGAATTACTTGACAGCAAAACTCAATAATTGATTTTTTGTCCCGGCCCGAGATTCGAACCCAGGACCTCATGATCAGCAGTCTCACTACTACAACCACTAGACCAACGAGGCAGTCAAGTTATAATATAGATTAGTATAATTAAAACCTTAGACAGATCAACATTACAACTTTGCGTCAATGAGCTTCAAGAGGTAGAACATGAGGGCGTGGTGGATTACACGAGCTCGTGTTCACATTGGTCGCCAGGCGTTTGTGCGATTGTGATGAGTTGTCAGAGGTTGTAAACATTGACGACAATCTTTTAATTTTAATCGAAAATTCTTAAAGTGGGAAATGACAAAAATTTGTATTGGTGTGCACGAAATTAATACAGAAAGATCAGTATGATTAATTTTAATACTGTTACGAGCTTGGGATTTGTGACAATAAAAACTGCTGATTGATTCACCAAAATTTACACTTTAATTATTGAACACCAATTACAACTTAAAACACACTAATAATAAAACACATTGTACTACTGATCACTTTAGTTCGCAGTCATATCGCTTTGAAGTATTCGCTTGAATTGCCAATTCAATATTAACTCGGTCGCGATCCTCACCGGCCTTATATAGGGCCTCTTCTACCAAAACATCTAAAATGTTCGAGTACATTCCGGTCCCGACTAACTAGGTGTAGAAAGTTCTAGTATGGAATTTTCTAGAAAGCTCTCCTAGTTCTGCTACTCGATACTAGATGGTGCTAGTGGCCATGTACCAGATATTATTTACGGCGCCCAACAATACATAAAAAAATTGATAGCCTACTACGTCCCACTGCTTTGGTCTCTTCAGGTCTCGTTCCATTCATGAGAAGGTTTTAGGGCTAGGAAAAGTCCGTCGCGATGCACCAATGCGTGTTGGTGGACTTCACATGTCTTCTGTCTGTCAATCTGTCATTCTGTTGTCAGACATGCAGGTTTCTTCACGATGTTTTCCTTCACCGCAGAGCGCGTGGTATTTCAACAATTAAAATTGTAACTAACAATTTCATTGGTGCTGTCAGGGTTCGAATCGGGGTTGCAGCTCACGTACTACGAGTGCTTAGTCCTTGAGCTACCACGGCTTACTCAGTAATTTGAAAGAATATCCTTCAAGATTTATTAGATATACCAGGATGATTACCGTTCAAAGTTCAAATTGGTTAATTTTATCTGGTTGAGTGAATGACAAGAATCCGGGACGAAGTAACCGAAAAATGTTTTCGGCGATAGGGGTTCTCGGGTTCGATTCCCGGATCGGGCCTTTACATTATTTTGCGAGATGTTACTGCATGGACCGTATTTGCGGATTCTTGCAACCAAAACAAGATGGCCGATGTGCTACGCGGCAGCCTTGAACGATGCATTCGCTATTCCAAAATCTAGTCTCGAAGGAGTTTCCACTTGAACCGCTAAGGGAGAGAAATACTTACTTACTTATCTTCACGCACAATCCCTAACGGGGTAGCCAGAGAGAACAGATCGCCAAGTGTCACGATCCTTACATACCTCTTTCGCTTCTTTCAGGTTCATTATCTTCTTCATACATGCACGTCTAGGTATCCGAGTACTCTTGACCTTCTCTTCTTCGAGTAATTTGATCACATGGTCTTCGAAAGTTAGTCTCGGTCTACCTCGACACCTTATAATATTTACTTTAGCGCTATATATTTTCTTCACCATTCGGTCTTCACTCATTCGCTCAACGTGCCCGAACCATTGGAGTACGCCCCTATCAATTTTTGTGATAAGGTCATCTTTCAATCCTGCCATATTACGATTCTCTTCGTTTCGCTTTCGGTCGGCTATGATAATGCCGCACATTTTACGAAGAGATCGCATCTCCACTGCATTCAACTTGCTTTTATGCTTTTTCTGGCATACCCAGATTTCGCTGCCATATAACAAAGTCGGCACCAACACTGCGTTATGTATTGCAAGGCGTGCACTCTTCACTACGCCTTACCTTTTGACTAACGCGTCACAGGGCAGGGCACCATTGACTTTGTTCCCGGCAGCGACAGCTGTCCACATCTAAATCACATCTTCCATCCCGGCTGAAAGCACTCCCCACGTATACAATTTCATTTGCCTGTTCTAGACATTCCTGATTTACCCATATTTCGCATTTCGTTCTCTCTTCGTCCTTTTCAAATACGAGAGAAATACGACAGGGAAATAAAACGGTTCAAAACAAAATTAACCTTTTGAGCGCCACGCCAAAAACGCATTACCGTGTCCTGTACGCCATAACGATCACTAAACAAAAATACCTACGAAAAAAATAGTGTTGCCAAAAGTTGATATATCGATAACACAAAATAACTCGATTTTGTTGGTTTTTTATGCAATAAATGAATCTTTATAATCTGGTATGTTTTATTTAATCTTGTGCTGTCTTCCACTTATTTATCTATGTACTTTGTACATAAATAAAAAACAAACAATAACAATAAAATAGTAGTAAGCCACAGCACTACTCTCCATCGTGATGACGTCACTGTCACGACTGGACGACAACGGCGTACCTGACCTTCCTTTTTGAAACTTTCTTGCCGTGTCACACGTTGTGTATCGATTTACAAATCGATCTAACCAAAATATACAGAGATCGACTCAAAATATTTTATGTGTCTGGAGGCGTAGGCCAGGCGAAGCACAGAAGAAAAGTCTTACGCTCTCATGACAATGGAAGTTTGATATGATGCTGATGCTGTCAGATGATTTTGAGATTGAGAAAGAAAATCGCACAACACAAAATGAAAAATTGCTCTTCATACCTTAAGTAAAAAAACACATTTATTATTTGTAATTTTATATTATTAAAATAAAAAAATTCATCATCATCGACGCTTTCCAAAATGCGGAATGAGTTTTGAGCTAGTTAATTATATTGTTTTATTTAAATATCAATAATAATAGAAGAAAAAAAATAACACGTTTGAACCGAATTTTGTATAATTTTCAAGAAATTTATCGGTCAAACATAGACGACTTTGGCGTGCTGGACATAGTATTTGCTTAAATAAAAATGCTTTTTTTTAGTTCAATGTTTCTTAGTACTTGTGGCTCTAGGAGACTTGTTTTTTATACTCACATGTTGCTGGGTTATTCTTTTTTGAGGAGCGTAGATTTAAAATACCAGTAATTACTTTCCAATATCTATATTTTATATTTTTGTGGGCCGTGTTTTTGTCAACTATAGACGTCGTTGGCGCTCAGAGCTCGCAGGTGCTGGTCAAGTATAGGCGAATTTGGCGCTCAAAAGGTTAAAAGGAAACACTTACTGGAGGGGGCTTCTTGCGGCCTCGTGGAGGATGGATGGTATGCGAGGCGGTTACTTCTCGATTGTTCTGTGCCACAGAGGTGCAGACACAACTAGCGGTTCTTTTCCACTACTATGCAAGAAGGTGTAGCGGCGGCAGAGGTGGCCGGTGGTGTTTTTATTGGTTGGCCATATCTACCACCTCCATCTCGGCGGGGCGCATTTTCATAGGCCGAAAATCGCGTCATATTCTAGACCCCTCCCCCTTTCAACGCGTGAGGAATGGAATACGTAGTTGTTTTTTTAATAGGAAAAGGGTGACAAGCGAGCACACAGTCGACCTGATGTTAAGTGGTTGCTGTGGCCCATAGACATCTACATCTATCTTCGTTTGCGAATCAAAATGCAGATGCGTTGTCAGCCTTGAGGACTAAGATGGAATGTCTCGTTTCCAGCAAAAAGGGTCTCCGGTTCACTACACTCTTCATACGAAACACAGCAGCATTAAGATACTATTTGACGCTGGTATTCTGTGAGAGCGTGGTCCTTCCCCGGTCGAGCCGACCCATTCGTGCTACAACTATACAATTAATATAGCTGCAGCATGGCTCTACCACAAAAGTAGGACGGAAAGATACACTGGCAAACAATAACCATCCGAACAAAATGGGAGAGTACCCGATTCTTTTTCCGCGCAACCATTTTATCTAAAGCCTTGCGATAATCGAGCATTTTGTCGCTAGTTATACATAAACACTCACGAACAACTTACACGTTTGATTTTGCCGCACGCGCCATTCTCCAATTTGCCAGCTACTCCACCACACCTGCGTTTTGTACGTGAACAATTGCATATAATAACTATGTGTTTGATATTTGGAGACCGCGTCCGCCACCGTACCCGCCAGTTAACGTTAACAAGCATTAAGTGGTTTCGAATAAAGACGTTCCAACGTCGGTCCAGGTGCTGAACGTGATAATGTTCGAGGAATGCTGCAACCAGTGGTCGATGTCGCGGCCGCTGCTGGGGCTGGTGCTGCTCAACGAGGAGCACTTCGGGCGACTGCGGGCCGAGCTGATCGCGCGCCAGCCGCACGACAAGCAGCCGCAGCTCGCACACTGGTTCAACGGGCTCATGGCCGGCATCGAGCCCAACCTGCTAACCAAGAACAGGGACCGGTCAGTACCCACACACACACGCACACGCAAGCAAGCACGCACGCATGCACGCACGCACGCAAACACATACACACACGCACGCACGCACGTAAACACAAACACGCACGCAAGCACGCACGCATGCACGCACGCATGCACGCACGCAAACACGCACACACACGCACGCAAACACACACACGCACGCGCGCACACACGCACGCAAGCACGCACGCAAACACACACACACACACACACACACACACACACACACACACACACACACACAGCACGCGCGCAGACCCATATTTACACACACGTTGCTTAGTTAAAAACATGCATTTACAATTTTTTAAGGGAATAACTTAACTAGGAGCAACTGGTCTCCCACGTTATTTAGTGTTTAAATTTAATCCGGACATTTATTAATTTGCCGGATTCTCAACATAATAAAGTTGTAACTTTATTGTAATGGTTGCAGCATGAATGTCGTCTCAATTTGCGATAAAACCTTCTCCGTCTCTTTTTGGCGGCTCCCTCGCAGCACAGACGAAACAAAGCGTCACCATTTTAATTCTGCATTCGATTCCAGATTCACACAAAACCTGTCAATGTTCCGGCGCGACATCAACGATCTGCTGAAGGGCACCAGCGTCAGTTCACCGCCTTCTAACAACGACATGATGACGTCATAACTGCTCGAGGAAAGCGCGTGAACACTTATCACAAGACGATTGCGTCATAGTGAGGTACAGTCCGCGTCGCATTCGACGACGTGACACGCTCGCGAGTGTACTTGTTCTATACAATGTGTAGCAGAAATAACGCAATCCCCTAAATATCCTAAGTTGTAATGTATTTTTAACCGACTTCAAAAAGTTCTCAAATGGACTGCATTTAGTTTTTTTTTGTATTTATTCTGAAACGTTTAATTAAACACATTACACTTTATGAAAATCTTGTGTCATGGAGGTATGTAACAAAATGCACAAAGACTATGACTGGTTTAATAATTTCTAGGCCTTTTAAATAATTCCGTCGTGCGGGAATCGACTCCGCGACCCGCAACGGAACGCTTGACCACTGACCGCCCGTCTAATTAAATTAGAATGTTGATTGAAACTATAACACAAAATGTTTTTAATGAGCTTTAATTTTTTTTAATTGGGTCATTCCTGTCGACAAGTATATGCATAATGAAATTCTTTGATTGTAATAATGTAATTATATTTGTTATTTTTGTACATGTGTGAAGATGGCAGCATGGTTTTATTGCCATAATTTACTTATACTATTTTTTTAATGTAAGTATATTTTTGGAAAGAAAATGATATTTGTATAAAAACTATCAGAAATCGATTCAGTTATCGATTTTGAAGGAACTGCTTCTAGGGATTGCGTTATATGTTACAATATGTATGTACAGTGGATGGATATAAATTTTTTTCATCTATGACTTCAGCACTTAGGCAATAGGTCGGTGCTTGAATCTGTTGTCTTAGAATTCAAATAAATCGATTTTTTAAAAATGCAATTCTACGCCATATTGGCTGTTAATGTAATGTTCACACCATTTCTTAGCGATGTGGATTTGGTTTGATATAATTTCGACTTTTTTTTAACGATACATTCCTCTCATTACACAACGCCACTGAACTTAAGATATGTCAGTCTGCTACTAGGTTTAACATACATTTGAATATATCCGGACATGTCCGAAAAAAGAGGCTAAAAAGTTTTTAAACACGAGTATATGAATTTCATTGAATTAATAAATTGTACAAAGGTAGCAGAAGTGTACAGCAACATTTAATGTCCGGAATTTTCAATTTTGTACACAATTATCGAATCAACTAGGCCACAAGCGTCCGCTCAAATACTGAGGCTCGCACACTCAAATCTTATTATTTCATGTATGACGATAATTAAAGGATTGGAGTGCAATTACGTTATAGTTATTGGATAACGTAGAGATCCTCACAATATATGCAATAACACTTCAGAAATAGAGTTACTATCCTACTTAGATTTTAAAATAAATATATTGAAAGTGAAATGAAAATACATGCAAACGTCGACCTTATCTCCAACTGTTAAGGCTAATAGTTGCTTAACTTGTTAACTGTTACTTGATGAGACTATGATAAATAGGCTGTATTGTCAGGTTTCTATGTTATACTTCGAGATACAATAGATGTCGCCTCTGTCTGTCTATGCTATCCTCTTCGAAATTCTTATACGAAATAAATACACGTGACAGATTTTCCAAATACTTTAGACTCATTACTGTAGTTTTCAGTCCATAGCTAAACCTGCCCCCTCCCATATAATATTTACATTGAAGGGGGAGGGGGTTAATGACATGTTTATCATATTGGTAGGCATATGAATAACAGAAATATGTTCGTATAACTGTTAAATTGTATTTTTATCTCTGATTCTCCTGAACGTCTATAGGACTATCGTAAAACGTGATCGTGGAAGAATTCATTTTAAATAAAGAATATTGTGTCCCGATTGTTTTTTTTTAATATGATATAACCTAAGTGTTTGTCTGAACGTAGCGTGACCAATGAATTGACCCGACAATCAAACTATGTAAATCTGTTAGCTTATTTAAGGATAAAAATGAGTTAAATTTGTTGATATTATGTTAAGTAGAAAAGAGCAAACATGAAAAAAAAAGGTTTACACGTTCTATGTTACATTCGACGTTGATTTTGGAGCCGTCTCAGTCTGTACACTTAATTTTGTATAAGATTCTATTGGATACGGTTTTGTGCACGCGTTCATATCGATACGGTTTTAAAACATGTCAAAACATGTTTTTTGTATGATATTAAATTTTAATAAATTAAAAGTTACTTTATCGATTTAATGTGGAAGTTGTATTGTGTGTACATTTTTAACAATTAGGAAATATTACTCCGCTTTTAAAATAATAATGGAATAAATCCCCTACAGTTCGTGATTGCGATCTGATGGACTTTACATGTCCCCAGAATATTATTTTCCCAGATGTCTAGTACATTGTTAATCAGCACTTAAGGATTACATTAAATAGTTTCAGACAACGATGATTAGATTCGGTTGCTTGTGTGGTAATGATACACGCTCAAAATATACTTTTCATGAATAATATTGTTACGAGCTAAGGGTTCGGGACAATAAAAACTGCCGATTGAATTACCAAAATTGACACTTTAATTACTGAATGCTGGTGTGGGGTAACTAAAACTTAAATCACACTAATAATTAATCACTTTAGTTCACTTTATTTTACTCCGAAAGCTTCGCTCGTATCGCCGATTCAATACTGCCCCGATCGCGGCTTTCAATGGCTTTAAAGAGGCCTTTTCCACCGAAACATCCAGAATGTTCCAGCAAATACCGGTCCCGACCGACTAAGTGCAGAAAGTTCGAGAGTGGACTTTTCTAGAAAGCTTAATTCTTCTATTCGTTACTAGATGGCGCTGTTGGGAGAGTTCTAGAAAGATCTTGACACTCCTATTTCTGATACTTGATACCAGATGGCGCTAGTGCATCAACTGTGGCGCGCAACAATTTTATAAAATTATATTATATTTTTGCAAAATTATATATTTAATTTGTTTATTTATATTTTATACTTTACTGTATTTACTGCATATAAATGTTACGAAGAACGGATTTAAGGTATTCCCAGCTCAATTCAATTTCCAACAATTCTCACCTCATATTACTTCTTAATTTGTACACATTGGTTTTTTATCAAACGAACACAGTACTGGGGGTTTTAGACTCAATAGTATTACTCTAAATAGACATGTCGCTGACCGATTTGATCTAAAATTGCACATCTTCAGTTAGAAGATAGCATGATTTTTTCTAGTTTCTCTTCCATTGGAATGACTAATGTTGCATTACTCCTTGATACTATTATATTCACTACTGAGATAAACGAATAAATTATTTTTATTCATATCGAATCTATTATACATTTACTAATATAAAAAATGATTATTTTGTTTATATTTTAAAATTAATCTTTCCATAATTCACAATTTATGTAGGATATTCTTCAATCCAGGTAAGACACATCATTGTATTTAGTTAGCGGAAGGTTGCAAATTAATCAATATCTTTTATAATGGATTTCCGCAAAGTAACGCCTGATTCTATCAATTTGTTTATATTTTAAAATTAATCTTTCCATAATTCACAATTTACGTAGGATAATTTATTTTTATATTATAATTTTTAAACAGTAAATTTTATACTTGTGTTTTAATTTTTTTAATTTAGATTATATTCCATGTTGCTTTTGAATACTGGAACTTCAGCTGTACATATTCACAATTTTGTTTATATTATTAGAACATATGTATGTGTCATGTACATCTCCGTAGCTTTACTATAGCTCCACAGGTGTACCAAATCGTCTGTAATTTTTTTACCTTCAATTAAATTCGTTTAGTTTTATTTTTTATAATTACGAACGATTAATCAATTTAGTGTGTCGACTTTCATTCAATTTTACGATGTGACATAAAAGCGCGTCGTGCACAAGACCGTGTCATGTCATCGTGACAGAAACCTGGATGCGTCTAGTTGTGAATGCCGTAACCTCTCAACACCCTACGTTTCCTATAGCTTAGCATAATGGTCTAAGAAGATATATTTATATGTTACTTTAGGTTTGTAACGAAGTGGGCGCGTGTCGTGCTCCATTGTAAATAGTTAAATAAATTGTGATTTGTACAAAGCGTTGCTGTTGTATTATTTTATATTACCCACTTTAAAAATAGGTCTAAAGAAATTTTTGAAGTAAAACTTCTTTACGCACGCTTGACGTAAACTGGCGAAAGCGTTACGAAAAGTGTGATCGGGCGAGGCGAACGAGAGTAATTTTATTTCGTTTTGAACAATGTTATGTATTAATATTTTGTTCAATACATTAAATATTCTGCGTAAGAGTCAATAAAATAGTAAATTCATTTTAAAGTTCATGTTTTGTGAATTTTCGGGTGAATAATAACAAATTATCGTATATGTATGTGTATATGTACATATATGTATATACATATATATATATATATATATATATATATATATATATATGAAGTTTTACTTCAGTCGTGTGGTCATAAGCACATCGTTTTTTTTTTCTTAATTTTCATTAGCTCGTAAAAATCCTGGTGTATATGGACCTCTCTCATTGTAAGGAAGATATAAATGCTTCGCGTGCTCGTCAGGCGGATCAACAATCGCAGAAACACCTATGCACTAGGGTGCAGTGAAAATGATACGGAGATATATTTATTCGTTAAATTTATAATAGCAGTGGTGTTTTTATACTTAAGTGTTTCTTGTAATGTCAAAATAACATAATTTTACTAAATGCATATAAAAGTATATACGGTACTTATAGCAAAAAAAACTTTGTGTTTGTCTGTCTGCTTGTTTCGGCTAATCTCCAAAGTAGCTATATATATATATATATATATATATATATATATATATATATATATATATATATATATATATATATATATATATATATATATATATATATATATATATATATATATATATATATATATATATTACTGACGGAAGTTAATAATTCAGAATATCTGCTTCTTAACAAACGATCTTTAAATCTACAAAATATAGCTTATAAATCCAACATGTATGTACTTCCGAAAACTAAAAA